TCGAGAGGAAAAGCGGACCCTCCCCATTCTCGACATTTGGGGGTTGTTACATGTTACCTCAATACTAATTCTCATCACACATGTGGTTATAAGCAGCTGATGAGAAACGATGAAATAAAATGAATTCATATTATTCTGCACCAATGTTTGTTCTGGCATTATTCATATTCATTAAGGGGACCAATTGAATGAAATTTCCAGAGGGTCGCCTCCATGTTCACGTTTTCAAGTCACCCAACTAGTTAGTGATAATCTGTTGCAGGATATCGAGAGAAACAACGAGATTAGAGTTGTTTGGTCAGTGCTTGAATTATGGATGCTTCCATCGTCAATTTATTAAAGCTGTACGTACATGTAAAACACCTCCTTCATCAAAAAATTTACGGCGTGTCACAAAATCTCAAATCGAATGCACCAAGGAACGTATCTCTAAACTCAAAACGTTTGTCAAAGCTTTTGACAAAATTGTTAATAATTTAAATATTATATGTCGAATCAAACTCCCGAATTTCATTTATAACGTTCAGTCAAAAACCAGCCGCAAATTTATAGAGTTTAACCAAAAACTTGTAAATCATGACGTCTTTCCTATCAATCCAGAAAAGTACATACAGAATTTATCTAGTAAAAAACTAAGTCGAATTGAAATAGAGACACTCTCCCCTGGATTTAAATCTCATATTCTGAAAAAAATATGACAGAATCGACACCGAAACGCGATTCGAGTATTTATATCAAGTTGTCAGACCCCAAACCTATGAATGATGAAAAACAAAGTTGATTCAAAACGAAATGAGTGGATATTACAAATCAGTACGTTACAACACCAGTTCCGCAATCTAAGGTGTTGATTAAAGATCATCAGCAAGAACTGAGACAACTTATGAAAGACGACACAATAATGCTACTTCGACCAGACAGGGGTTCCCAGTGTAGTCTTCCTAAACAGAAACGAATACATTAGCAAAGTAATGTCCATTTTAAACGATTCCTCGAGACTTATCATTGAAAGACCTGACAGATGTGATTGAGAAGCACCTTTTAAAAAGGTTGAGAGAACTCTTGAAGAGAAATTTAATCGATAACTCTACACACAATGAACTCAAACGGAAAGGATCACAATTACCTTACTTGTACGGTTTACCCAAAATACACAAACCTAACATCCCGATGAGGCCAGTACTATCTATGACCAACTCGCCATTCAATAAACTCGTCCGCTGGCTGACTAGGTGCTTAGGACCAGTCCACGAGAAAGTAGCTCTTTACGGTCTAAAGGATAGTTTCAAATTTGTACAAAAGCATGACAGCTTAAATGCTTCCGATAAATTATAGTATCTTTTGACGTCTCATCTCTCTTCACAAAGATCCCTTTGTAAGAAACGGCAAATATGATATGTGAACATCCTGAACTCTTTCCTTTGTCAATCAATTCTTGTGTACCAAAAATATACAATTCCAAATAAAAATGTGTTGTACAACCAAATTGATGGAGTAGCAATCAGTAGCCTTCTCGGTCCAATTTCAGCTGATGTATATGCACTCTATTTTTTTCTATGATTTAAATCAATTGATTTTCATATCACATCTTACCTCAACACTTACTTCCATTACACATATAATTGTAAGCATTTGATAAGAAACCACGAAATATAATGAATTCATATTATTGTGCAGCAATGTTTGTTATGGCCTTATTCAGACGTATGTGAAAAGCGGATGTAATAAACGAATTTACCCATCACTATTTGTTTTCCTTTGTTAGGATAGTCGGGAAAAATAGACCAATAATTATCATGTTAAGTCCATTGGTGTCCTTGGACCTTAAATGTACATTTTGCATTGGTCGATATTTATTTAACGTGTTATTTTCCTGTTGGCCAATATTGTACAATGTTATTTTCTATTTTATGGTACGTTGTGGTCTGCTTGACTAGTATATAAACAAAGTATGTTTGAAATATAATGATTCATAACTCCGAGGCTGTGACTTTTGTTCTTGACTCAACTGGCTGGGGACAGATAGCGAGGCAGGGCCAATCAGGGCACAAGGTCATCCTTACAAGTTTACGTGTTCACTGTCACAGATCGCGATCGATAAATAAACTCTGCGTATCATAACCTGCAGTCACACACTTCGCGTTACAACAATTGGCGACGGGGTAGAGAAAATTTTGAACCCTGTAATTGGATGAGGTTCATCCTATTTATTTTGGCCAATCAGCATTCAGACTGATCGTCAGCGTCCTTGGGAGTCATTGGTTGTTAGTTGATTACAGTATTTCTCATTACCCTGCTGACTCAGAAAATGAATATCCTTCCCGATCAATTGCAGCTACTACTAGATCGCCAGCAGCAGCGTTTCAGAGAAAGCCAGTTGAATGTTTTGGACTATATGCGCACGCGACTGCTAAATCTCCCATGTTTCGGAGATGTGAAAGAAATTGATGAATTCATTTCTCACTTACATTCTGAACTCGAGAATGACTGCAGGACATATGAAGATGAAAACAAAAGCCTCTATGAATCCCTTATGATCAGTAATGCAAATGAGGCAGTCGCTCATAACCCGTCTAGCGATCCGGGAATGTCCAGTTCAGAATCATGCCCTGTTGTGGGTTCAAATCCCACTATTCCTGAAACGTGTACAGACAGTGATGTACCCAGCTCACAGGAAGATCTTTCATTAAATGCTCATAAATTAATTACAGTGCCCTCTCACAAGGAAACAGGAAACAAATCGTGCACTATACTGAGTCTAGCTGCTCCGAACGGTCCTCATCAGTCAACAACAGGTGACTCTGATGAATCTTATTATCTGGATCCTCTTGTACCAGAAAATGTGTTAGATGCCACAAATGATGATCAGAAGTTGAATACAATTTTGATAGATGTTAATTATCCCAGTGATCGACTATCCACAAATGAGTTTTTCAAGGAATTCTATGGTAATGTTCCAGAAGAATCAAAGGTTGATGACTTCATATCAAGCGACGTTGGTCCACACTACTTAATCACTTTTAGTGACTTCTCTGTTCCATGTGACTATCATGTGTTAAATAAAGTCAAATTAATTTTAACTTGGAGAGATGAGGACCCAACATTATTTCGTGGGGGAGGATGAACCCAGAAAATTTTAAAATGCAGATATGAACTCCGGATCATTCGAAAAAGGGGAGGTGTTAGGATAGTCGGGAAAAATAGACCAATAATTATCATGTTAAGTCCATTGGTGTCCTTGGACCTTAAATGTACATTTTGCATTGGTCGATATTTATTTAACGTGTTATTTTCCTGTTGGCCAATATTGTACAATGTTATTTTCTATTTTATGGTACGTTGTGGTCTGCTTGACTAGTATATAAACAAAGTATGTTTGAAATATAATGATTCATAACTCCGAGGCTGTGACTTTTGTTCTTGACTCAACTGGCTGGGGACAGATAGCGAGGCAGGGCCAATCAGGGCACTAGGTCATCCTTACAAGTTTACGTGTTCACTGTCACAGATCGCGATCGATAAATAAACTCTGCGTATCATAACCTGCAGTCACACACTTCGCGTTACAACATCCTTACTTCCAATTATGTTCTTGTCGATGTAACGTTTACTCGAAGTTTGATTCTTTTCATTTTTTTTATTTCCAGTAGCCTTTCCTTCTTTTGTTTCTTTACGTATAATACAGTCGGAGATTCCCGATTCTTACACACACAGTTCTATGAGGTTTTATGAGAGGTTAATGAGTAATTAATCAACAATATATTTGAAAAGTCCCAAATGTAACTCACTGGACAATTAGAAGTTTATGTGTTTAATTGTCAACCACACTGTTTGTATCTAGATTAACCAAGCATTTTGATCCCTTAAATCAACGTAGGTGGAGCGGAGGTCAAAACTGCGGCTTATTAGTTGGAAGTCGATTACCTTCACCGACAGCATGTTACGGAAAGTTCAAACAATTTTGTGAGTCAGTATTCTGGAATTTTATAACCGTATATTTTAGATTATTTCAACCTTTTTATGCTAAAATAACCGGTTCAAACATATTGTCCACAGTTTTCAATGGCAAAACGAAATTACTAAATATTAGGAACTTTCAGGCTTGAAGTTCGTTCCAGACAACACAATTTGACAATTAAAAGGTAGTAAATAACACAAAAATCGCCAGTACACAACTGGAGAACTTTAGTATTGTAATCCCAGCCTTGCACTATAAAAGTGACTATTCGCTTTTTATAGGCTTTTAACGAATAGGTGGAACAGTTTCGAACCCAACTACTGTTACCACCAATCGAGTAATGTTACCAAGCTACACAAAAGATTTGTGACTTAAAGGTAAGAATATAAACATGTAATTGGTAGATGAATTACCTTATCTGTTTGGGAAATGAATGATTTTCACAAAAAGTAAATAATAATGACTAGGAAAGACTAAGACTTATCTTATTAAAATGATAACTTTAACTTACTTTTCAATTGCAAGTTTTTCTTCATGTCTCGGGGGTAAATTGACCATCTAGTCTACAAAATACATGCACGGTTGAAGATAATATCACATGAAAGTAATAAAAAACAACAAAATGACTTTAATAAATTTTTATTTATTAAAGGACCAGACTACATAATAGTGCTAAACAAGGAAATACGATAATGATAGTAATAGTGGTAATACTATTACTTCGAAAATAATCTGATATAAGCTTACGTAAAAGTAAGATCACAAGACAAACTCCGGAAAATCATACCAGCAAAAATTTACATCGGTAAAATAAAAAAAACTACTGGTCAATAAAAAAATAATAATAAGCAACTAACTTTTAAACTGAAAGATATGTATCAAACATAATTTAATCAATGAGTATATAAAAATAATAAGGTGAGAAGAAGCATTGCACAGTGGTTGTAATTACAATGCTTAAAAGGTAACAGGTAGAAATATTGGAAGCCAAATGATTCCATAACAAATGGAAAGATACCAGATTATCAACAAAAAAAGTTATCTATTCAGTAGAAGGTTTAAAAGTTATGGTTGTTAAAGCCACATCCTGAAAGTCATATGCAGCGGTTAGGTGAAATCCCATATTAGCAATTGCGATACCATATTCACTAGCTGAAAACCAACTAAATGCTTAAAACAAATAAACAAATATAATATCAACATGGTTATGGGTAATTTAAAATAAAATGACGAATAACTAGTAAAACACGAGTGAACTAATACAAATGAATACAATTTAGCAAATTTAGCTTACTAATTACTACACATTTATGAATAGTAACTGATATCGATCGGTTCACCACGACTCCCCGGTTGGATTTCTGAAGATGATGCAACTTGGTATCTTAAGATATTATCAGACATGGTTGAAAATAGGAACCAATTGTGGTTCCGCTGTAGTTTTCCTCCGAAATCTCCATAAAAGTGAGAACATTAACTAGAAGAATCCTCCCTTACTGTATTTTACAACTGATTTACTTCTGATATCACCAACTATTCTCGTTCACCTAATTCGCTCTTCTCTATCTCTCCAAAACTTCATTTTCGTACAAAGTGGTGCATATTTTATTTATTATTTATTTATTTGAACACATACATATTGGTACAAGAGTGCGCCAATATATATGCGCCACACAAAACAATGATAATTCGAAGAGGAAAAAAAGGTAAGGAGGGCAAAAAAAGAACAATAAGGAAGAGATTGGTGTAAGGTAGTGTAATAATAATGGTGGTAATAAAGGGGTAAACGCAAAGGTACAATCAGAAGAAATCTTTCAGGTAAGGGAGACACAACCACTTTTTATGAAGAAAGTAAAAGAAGGATCGCCACTGGCTTCTATTCTGAGCCATATCTGATAACGTCTCTAGCCACTGTGTTGCACCATCTCTCAGACCCCAGCCAGGGAGTCGTGAAGGACCAACACAAGCCAGTCCTTTACAGCTTTCTTTCATACCACGACACCATGTCATGCACTGACCACCTCTCCGCTTCTTCCAACCAGTCCCAGGGTCGGCAAATAATGCACGACGTGGAATTCTCTGGGACGACATTCGGAGAACATGTCCAAGCCACCGAAGTCGGTGTTTCAAGATGGTGACACCAATTGAATTATCATCTCTGTGCCCGAACACACGATGCTGAACCTCTGTATTACTACTAACATGGTGTTGCCACCGAATGTCAGCAATCCTTCGGAGACAGCGATGATCGAACACAGAGTCGTCTAACGTCCTCAACTCGGAGAGGCCAGGTTTCACAAGCATAGAGCAAAACTGCTCTCACCGACGCGTTGTAGATCCGACCTTTTACAGCCAGACTAACATCACGAAGGCGCCAAAGGTGGCCCAGATTGGCATAAGCCGCTCTGGCTTTCACTATTCGTGCATTGATCTCATCACTCACACTCCCACCAGCACTTATGCAGCTACCCAGATACACGAACTTCTCGACTACGTCTATCTGCTCACCATCCAGGGTGAGTACAGGATTAGAATTCTGCCAGTCTTGTAGAAGTACTTTGCACTTCGAAGGTGCAAAGCACATACCATACCTACGGACACTGATTGCCAACTGATTAAGTGCGGATTGCATGCCTTGGGCATTATCGCACAGTAAGACAATATCGTCCGCATACTCAAGGTCGAGAAGTCTTTCTCCAGGCAACAGATCCACACCACCATTACTTACATTCATCAGAGCTGTTTCCAGAATGTCATCGATGGCAAAGTTGAAGAGGAATGGTGAGATCGGGCAATCTGTCGGGGCATAGGCGGAGATGACGAAAAGACATCGTTTCTCACGCCGATTTCTTCTCACTTTGATGGAACTCTCTAATCTAACAGCACAAAACCGACTGTTAATGGGGATCAAATCGACTAGTGCTGCCTCAGCCCTAATGCTCAGTGCGACACCAACGCCAGCAAGACCAGACGAAGATGCCACAGGGTCCCCGGATAAGCGCACGTAAAACAAGCTTTTCGAAGCGACAGATGGACATCGAATTGGTAGTACTTCACCAAAGTCTTGAATACGGGTCTCGGATAGACAGCAAACATCGATATTAAGACTTCCCAAAGACATAGCCAGCCCTATCTGTTGTCCAACCTAAATAAGTGTGCGAACGTTGAAGGGAGCCAGTTTGAATGGTGCACGCGGTTTCAGAAAAACTGCTTCAGTACTCATATTCGGTGGTAACATACAATTTTCAACCGGGCAGTGACTCGAGAACGTTTAGATACAGTCGAATTCTCACTATAGACGAGCTGCTGTATAAGTCGAAAAAATAAGTATAAACAGAGTGAGAATAAAAGAGGGTGAATAATGACGTAGTAAATAATATTAATAATAATAATTATTATTATTATTACTATTACTATAGTAATAATAATGAGAGTCACTTGATTGTTATTTGGAGCGAGAGGAATATTTTTCATAAGTGGATAGTTTATCATGTTTTTGTGTGCGGGCCGAGATACTACCCGAGTGCCCAAACCGAAACAGGTGGTTTTCTTAGGGGGCTGTTAAGCCTAATGCTATCCTTGGACATGAAATGGTATCATCCTATTGGTCAATATTCATTTAACGTGTCATTTTCCTGTTGGCCAATATTGTACAATGTTATTTCTATTTTATGGTACGATGTGGATTGTTTGGTTGCTATATAAACAGAGCATGTTTGAAATATAACGATTCATATCTCCGAAGCTGAGACTTGTGTTCTGGACTCAACTGGCTGGGCTAGACAGGGAAGCGGGACCAATCAGAGCCCTAGGCCGTTCTTACGTGTTTGCGCGTCTTTGGTCCGATCGATAATTCGCTGTCTTCTAATCTGCTGCCGTCACAGTTATAGCAGAGGCCACACCCCGAGCCTTTGACCTAAAGGTCTAACCCACAAGGCAGTGGAGTATCATGAGGAGATACAGTCCCATGGTAGCCGGTGACCAAGGAATTGGTTCATACGCCATTTGTCCCCGCAAGATACTGGAGCCCATGTGCACCATTGGTTTGGAATCCGGTTAAAGCGCCGGACATTCGCTTTTCGTCCTCTCATTTTTGTAAACAACACCCCCGCCACGAGAAGGCAGTGAGTAGGACTTCCCTGGCAGAGGCTGTATACGCGTGGCCGTGTGAGGGTGTTTCGAGAGGGAGGGCGAACCCACCCCGCTCCCAGCCATACTAGGGCATTTGGGGCGGTGCATATTTACTTCAGTGCCCATTTTTACCAACATTTATTTTCAAATTAACAAATAGATTGTTGATTCCATCATTAGTATGAGTTAGTTGAAAACGCTGATATCCATTTAAAACTCTTAACCAATCATTAACCAAGTACAAATCAAATGAACCAACGGATCGAGGGTAAAATACTCCCCATCTCGAAACGCTCCCAAATGACCACGCATATACAGACACTACAAGTGATGTCCTACTCAATGATTTCTCACAAAGTGAGTGCTGTTTACAAAATAGAGAGGACAAGAATGAGTGTATGGCGCTTTAACTGGGTTGGTGAGTACGGAGTATCCATCTAAGGGAATTGCAACATACTGATTCCAAACCAATCGTGCACATGAACTCCACGATCCTGAGGGGACAAATGGTCCATGAAACCATTGTTGGTCACAGTCACCATGAGACTGCATCTCCTAACGTCGTTCCACTGCCTTGTGGATTAGACTCTTAGGTCAAAGGCCCAGCGTGTTGCTCCCTAAAGAAGCCACGTGCTTCGATTCGGACACCTTGGCAGTATCCCATCCCACAAATATATCCATGATAATTAAAATTGAACGTAATTTCTTTAACTGAAACAATTCTTCTTGTTGCATTTTTACTAACTGAACTGTTTCTCGCATTGTTATCATTATTATTACTTCACTTTCACGCACAAATTTCTGATCGTTGTTCTTTTTGTTATACGCACTTTACGTTTTCTGTCTCTTCACAACCTCATTGTTATTGTGTAGCGCATATGTATTTGACGCCCCGATGTACTATTGTGTTCAAATAAATAAAATACTTAAGTAACTTAATACGATTAAGAGGCATAAACAGGTATAAACACAACGGAATTTGATTAAGATTGGAAGCAGTTCAAGTTGCCACACCTGATGTCAGTAAAGTAACCTCCAAGGACAGTGAGGAGGAATTGATGCTAGAAGAAAAGTTATGAAATGTTCACCAAAGGTTGAAAACAGACATTACTGCTAATGACCATTATAAAAATAGACAGCAGATGAGATTTCCTTAGTTTATGGAGGAGCGGTCGTGATTCATCTCGCTCACATCAAAACACGTCTGAACGTAAACAACGAAGAACATTTAGATATTTTATTCAAACAATACCAAGCGCCTTAAAGGTCTCTACAAACAACTAATTACATGAACTAAATGTTTATTTACCTTAGCCCCCTGAATGCCCTGGTACGGCCGAGAGTGGGGAGAGTCCGCTCTCCCTCTCGAAATACTCTCACACGGCCACGCGTATATAGCCTCTGCCAGGGAAGTCCTACTCATTGCCTTCTCGTGGCGGGGGTGTTGTTTACGAAAATGAGAGGACGAGAAGCGAATGTCCGGCGCTTTAACCGGATTCCAAACCAATGGTGCACATGGGCTCCAGTATCCTGCGGGAACGAATGGCGTATGAACCAATCGTTGGTCACCGGCTACCATGGGACTGCATCTCCTTACGATGCTCCACTGCCTTGTGGGTTAGACCTTTAGGTCAAAGGCTCGGGGAGTGGCCCCCTAAGATAACCACCTGCTTCGGTTTGGGCACCCGGGCAGTATCACAGCCCACACACAAATGATGAACTGTTTATGTCTATGGAAACTACTTTTGTCGCTTTGAAAAACAATCAATTGATTCAAATTATGATCACTTCAATTATTGTCATTATTAATACTAATATTATTATTACTACTATTATTGTCATTATTGTTATTATTATCATTATTATTATTATTTTCCACATTATTCACCTTCTTTTATACTTATACAGCGGCTCGTCTATAGTGAGAATTCGACTGTATCTAAACGTTCTCGAGCCACTGTCCGGTTGAAAATTGTATGTTACCACCGAATACGAGGACTGAAGCAGATTTTCTGAAACCACGTGCATCATTCAAACTGGCTGCCTTCAACGTTCGCACATTTATGCAGGTCGGACAACAGATAGGGCTGGCTATGTCTTTGGAAAGTCTTAATATCGACGTGTGTTGTCTATCCGAGACCCGTATTCAAGACTCTGGCGAAGTACTACAAATTCGATCTCCATCTGTCGCTTCGAAAAGCTTGTTTTACGTGCGCTTATCCGGGGACCCTGTGGCATCTTCGTCTGGTTTTGCTGGCGTTGGTGTCGCACTAAGCGCTAGAGCTGAGGCAGCACTAGTCGATTGGATCCCCATTAACAGTCGGTTATGTGCTGTTAGATTAGAAAGTTCCATAAAAGTGAGAAGAAATCGGCGTGAGAAACGATGTCTTTTCGTCATCTCCGCCTATGCCCCGACAGATTGCAGCCCGGATGCAATCAAGGATGAGTTTTACCACCAGTTATCAGTTCTTCTCCAGAAAGTGCGTTCGACAGATATTGTAGTACTAGCCGGAGACTTGAATGCTCAGGTCGGGCGTCTAGGCACAGAAGAGAGTCGTTTAGGTGGCCGATGGGGACTCGTTGGTCGCAGGTCAGATAACGGGGACCGTCTACTGCAACTTTGCGCAGACCACAACCTGTTTCTGGCTAGCACTAACTTTCGGCACAGTCATCGCCGATGTGCCACCTGGCGTCCTCCCTCTGCATCTCAAGCCTGGACTCAGATTGATCACATCGCGATCAGCTACCGCTGGCGTGGTTGTGTACAAGACTGCCGCTCCTTTTGGAGTACCTATCTGGACTCTGACCATGCCTTGGTCTGCGCCAATCTTGCCTTACTTTTCAGTGGACAACGAAGTGAACGCCATCAACGGATTGATGTTAGCAAGCTGGTTGCAACTTCTGTTGCAAGTAAGTATCGAACCGAGCTAGCCTCTAGGCTAGCTACCACTCCACCGAAAAGTATAGATGAGCATTGGTTGCAATTGCATGACGCCATGAAAATGGCGGGAACAGTCAGTTGTGGGTTTGCGAAACGTCCCGCTTTTAAGCACTGGGTTTCTTCTGGTTCCTTACAACTCATTGAAGCCCGTCGGTCTACTCCGGGTAACCGTGAGTTTGACCATAAACGAAGGTTTTTACGTAAGGAAATCGGGCAAAGCTTGCGTAAGGACCGAGAAGCCTGGTGGTCGATGCGTGCTAATGAGCTGGAAGCAGCAGCTGCATCTGGTAACTACCGGAAGCTCTTCCAACTCATCCGAGCCACTGGCAGCAAGAAGTCTGGTGTGAGTGAAACAATCTGCGAGGATGATGGGATGCCAATCACAAACATCCATCGACGTCTTGGACGATGGGCAGAATTTTTCGAAGGGCAGTTCAACTGGCCTGCTGCTCCGGTAACATCGGTCAGACTGTCCTGCCCTCCATGGCCGGTGACGACTGATCCACCAAATGAGGAGGAAGTCCACAAGGAACTCCAACTCTTGAAGCGTTACAAATCACCTGGCCCAGATGACTTACCTCCGGCTCTTTTTAAAGATGGTGGTGACTTTTTGACTAAGGAATTGACGACGTTGTTTACAAAGGTTTGGGATCTAGAGAGTGTACCAACGTCATGGAATGAGTCGATAGTTGTCCCTATCTTTAAAAAGGGTTCACGTCGTTCTTGTAACAACTATCGGGGGATAAGTTTACTTCCGATTGCGTCCAAGCTATTGGCTTCCGTCATTCTTCGTAGGTTGTTCAAAACCCGAGAAAGATTGACTCGCGAGGAGCAGGCTGGGTTTCGTTCTGGTCGAGGATATATTGATCATATCTTCACCCTCCGCCAAATGTTAGAACACCGCCATACTTTTCAAAGGCCAACAATCGTAGTGTTTCTTGACATCAGGGCTGCCTTCGATTCGTTGGATAGGACTGTTCTCTGGGATTGTCTATTGAAGAAGGGTGTGCCTGAGAAGTTTATTAACATCCTAAAAGCCCTGTATAAAAACATCTCAGGCAGAGTGAGGGCATACAACCACCTCTCTCCATTGTTCCATTCGAGCAGTGGGGTTAGGCAGGGTTGCCCAATCTCACCATTCCTCTTCAACTTTGCCATCGATGACATTCTGGAAACAGCTCTGATGAATGTAAGTAATGGTGGTGTGGATCTGTTGCCTGGAGAAAGACTTCTCGACCTTGAGTATGCGGACGATATTGTCTTACTGTGCGATAATGCCCAAGGCATGCAATCCGCACTTAATCAGTTGGCAATCAATGTCCGTAGGTATGGTATGTGCTTTGCACCTTCGAAGTGCAAAGTACTTCTACAAGACTGGCAGGATCCCAATCCTGTACTCACCCTGGATGGTGAGCAGATAGACGTAGTTGAGAAGTTCGTGTATCTGGGTAGCTGCATAAGTGCTGGTGGGAGTGTGAGTGATGAGATCAATGCACGAATAGTGAAAGCCAGAGCGGCTTATGCCAATCTGGGCCACCTTTGGCGCCTTCGTGATGTCAGTCTGGCTGTAAAAGGCCGGATCTACAACGCGTCGGTGAGAGCAGTTTTGCTCTATGCTTGTGAAACCTGGCCTCTCCGAGTTGAGGACGTTAGACGACTCTCTGTGTTTGATCATCGGTGTCTCCGAAGGATTGCTGACATTCAGTGGCAACACCATGTTAGTAATGCAGAGGTTCGGCATCGTGTGTTCGGGCACAGAGATGATAACTCAATTGGTGTCACCATCTTGAAACACCGACTTCGGTGGCTTGGACATGTTCTCCGAATGTCGTCCCAGAGAATTCCACGTCGTGCATTATTTGCCGACCCTGGGACTGGTTGGAAGAAGCGGAGAGGTGGTCAGTGCATGACATGGTGTCGTGGTATGAAAGAAAGCTGTAAAGGACTGGCTTGTGTTGGTCCTTCACGACTCCCTGGCTGGGGTCTGAGAGATGGTGCAACACAGTGGCTAGAGACGTTATCAGATATGGCTCAGAATAGAAGCCAGTGGCGATCCTGCTGTAACCTTCTTTTACTTTCTTCATAAAAAGTGGTTGTGTCTCCCTTACCTGAAAGATTTCTTCTGATTGTACCTCTTCGTCATTACTCTCTTTTTCTTTTGCGTTCCTTAGTTTTTTTTTTTCTTTCTACTTCTCTTCGAATTCCCATTGTTTTGTGTGGCGCATATATATTGGCGCTCTCTTGTACCAATATTTATGTGTTCAAATAAAATAATAAATAATTATTTACCTTAAATATATTATCTAACATAGACAGCAACACCAAAAATATGACGTTTTTATGAGAAGACAAGAAAGCGACATTGTCAACAATATTATGAGCTACCTTAGTATTGTTACTCGAAATCTAACGCTCAGTCGATAATTTAGTTTCATGGTTATTGGAGAATTTTATGGTACAAAAACTATGAATTCATGCTACTTAGGAAGCGTGAAGTTTAGGACGCTGGCCAACAAGTTTCAGGATTCATTACGAACTTTTAAAATAATAATCCGTTTTTCACATCATGAACATTACCATATGGCAAAAATAGTCGAAACGTCAGTCAACTATACGCAACGTATATCCTAGTACACATGTGAATTGATCCAAGCTACTATACTACATTTGACAGCGCGATAAAACTATGAAGACAAACCCAAGAATAGTAACAGTGACGGCATCAATAATAGCCGAAAATATTAGGTATATATGGTAAATTTACAAAGAATCACGATTATAAACCACTTATATAGCGAGTCATCGACTGAGATGAGTAAACCACAATAGGTTAGACACTCATTTGGGATTTTATTTACAATTTAAAACAATTTCAGTAAGTTCTCATAAACTTAGTCCAGCATGAAATGTAGATACATACACTTCATAGAAATATGGCAACAAAATATGTACGAGTACCTGATATTTTTTAATTTTGAATTTATTGGATTAAGTTTGAAAATTACTTTCTAGTGGTGACAAGTAAGATAAAAATTGGACAGTTATACAAATAATAAACAAACTTACCGTTTGCCTTACAGGTAAACCTATGGTTGTAGAACTGGTGGACTAACAAGAGGATTAAGCAAACATCTAGTCCGAAAAACAGGGACTTCAGGTTGAAAGAATATTTGAACTGAAAATATTAGTATACGATATACAAACACGTTACTCTCGGAGTGCAAGAAGTGATTCCTATTATCCAATGAACCACTAGAGTGACTATCATATAGGCAGTTGAAGCGATCAGGAAAACGATGAACAAATGTTCATGGAGAGCTACAAAATCTTTCATAACAAACAAGATGAAACATACGGTAATTCTCTTGGTTAGATACAAAAGCCACTCCCACAAACGAACCCACATCTAGAAGGTTGAGACAGAATGCAACAACAGTCAAAATTTTATAAATCAATGACTGGTTGAACATTTTGTGATAAGACATATGGTATCGAAGATATATAAACGCAAGGAGTAAACGTGGTGCACTATGCAGCCCAACTGTGTAGCGCCATAAATATATTTGAGGTTTTATCCCAGTGACAGCACTGATAGATGGAACAAAATTGGTTACCTACAAAGTAATTCTAAGACTGCACCAATTACCCCACACACGGATTCCGTAACCTCATCGAAAGTATTGTATGTCGATACAAAGAAGCAAATAATCAGGCCAAACAACGGTAACGATACACCAGCTACTACAAATAAGGGAAATGGAATCCAAAGCAACCGATATAACCCTTTATTTTCACAAGCCATAACAACTGAAGCCTTTCCCTTACCTGAAGCGTACTGTCCGAATCTCGCGGTCTTAAATTTCGGGATCTAAAACATCCTAATTTCCCGAATACATTATGACACTCTAAAGTAACCTGGTGTGGTCCTTTATAATTGCGATCGATTAGGAAGATCAGATTTATGTCTCTGTTTATATTCAGAGTAACCACATAAAGAGCGGCTTAGTAAGCTATACCACTTTAGTCTGTCCTTCCTCAGATTAAAAGGTGATTTGATTTTGATGTATAAAATTATTTCGCACCTGGGTTATTCCCTCTTTTTCTGGCTATCAGATCGGGGCAGCTCATAGGACACAGCAGGAGAGTACGAAAGCCAAGATCAAACATCCGCTAATTTCAAAAAGGGCAGTGATTTTTGTACTTGTTGTGATTACACTTGCTTTTGGTACTTATTGCACTAAAAAGCATTCTTGGTCTACTTTAACTAAGAGTTCTTTGGTTAAAGTTTGAAATTTTTTGCTACATTTTGTCCTGGGTACCTGTTTTTAGTCTTTGACTAAGACTTGTGTTCACATTGTTATCGTTTTTTTGTTTTTAAACCTTTTAAATCGAATTACAATGGTTGGTAAGACTCACAAATGTGGGCAACCAAATTGTTTGTTCTCCGTTGAGGAGGGAATGCAGTGTGACGACTGTAAAAAGTGGTATCACAAAATGTGTACACGACTAAGTCCGACGGCTTACAAAAGATGCTCGAAGCCTAACTCGCATTGGCTTTGTGTGTTTTGCTGTACGGATAAAAAGGTACTAATACAGGAGGCTATGGGCCTATTGGCTTTGGCCTGCAAGAAAAACGATGGCGGAAGCACTGATAACAGGAGTACTGACGATGAAGAATGTGTCAGTGTAGTAAGTGCTGCTACTGGACCCATTAAACACCTGACTGCGGTTGACGGGATTGTGAAATCTCCGTTGACATTAACGAGGAATGAAGTGTCGCCTGATATTGACATCGGCAGTCATACACCTGTAGTCGAAATAGAAGATCAGGATAAAACTGTCACCGTTCCACATAGTCCAGGTGTGGCTGTTCTGAGTGGTGACAAATGGACTCCGGTAAGAAGAAAAAAAATAAGAAGAAAAAGGCTGTAGGCAAAACGCAGCTGGTCAGCAAGACATTGGAAGGGACTTTATCAGAAGAAAAATCCTCACCGCGTGAAAAGATAGATCTCTCTGAGAGATCAGTCATTTTTCATAAGATAAGAGAATCTTCAGACACTGGACCAAAGACAAGATTTGAACATGATCTCAATCATATTAAGACATCATTAAGTAAACTACTCCCAGATACAGTTTCAGGAGTTAGTATTTGTAAGCTTTATAGAATAGGAAAAAAGGTGGATTCCGAAAGTCCTCAGAAAAACCGCCTCCTAAAGGTTACATTCAACACGGTGGAAGAAAGGAACCTGGTTCTAAGTAATTCACGTAAACTGATTGGGTCCGGAATATATGTCCGTGAGGACCTCAGCCTAGCTGATCGTATTAAGAGAAGGGCTGCAGAAGCGGAAATAAACGAGCGTCGCCGAAACGGTGAAAGGAACCTCGTTCTTAAGGGTTTTCAGATTGTAAAAGTTCGGAGCAAAACGATCCCCAAGCCACTCTGGGTGGCAAGGGAAAGCTCTCCACAGACTTAAAAGTGTGCTACACAAATGCTCGCAGCCTACTAAATAAAATGGCGGAGCTGAAGTCAGTGGTGGATAAAGAAAAACCGGACGCTATCGCTGTCTCGGAAACTTGGTTAACGTCAGAATTGTTAGATAGTGAAATCCAGTTGACTGGTTTCATAACCAGTAGGGCTGATAGATTAAACCGAAGGGGAGGCGGGGTTATTGTGTACACGAAAAGTACCCTAACCATAAGATTAGCTGAGACAGTAGCACATGTTTCAGGGACATGTGAACTGGTGAGATGTAAGTTGAAATGCCGAAGGCAAGATATTGAATTAGTTGTAGTTTATCGCAGTCCAGAATGTGTAGCAGACGATTTTCTCCTCAGTAAACTTAAGTCCTGGTGTAACAACGGTAAAAGCCTTGTAGTAGGCGACTTTAATGCACCATATATAAACTGGGTTAACTTAGAAGTAGAGTCATCTATATCGTCGTTCGACTCCAAACTGTTAGAAACCTCGATTGGACTAGCATTATTCCAACACATTAGAGATCCCACAAGATACGACTTAAGAAACTCTTCCTCTCTTTTAGATTTAGTCTTCACACACGGTGAGGACGTTGGTCAAACGGCTTTTCTCCCACCACTTGGGAGAAGTGACCATGCAGTCATCTTATTCAAATTCATGGCTGAAATTGCTTCTCAAACAATTGCGCCGGCCCGTCCTAACATATGGAAGGCAGATATGCAGGCAATTGACTCCGCAGCATCGGCTGAGAACTGGGAAATTGACTCAAAGGCATCAGTACAAGAGGCATGGACTCTATTCAGACAGTTATACAATCGGGTAACTCAACCATATATACCCTGGACTGTCCCAAAGAACAAGAAGCACGGACATCCCTGGTTAGGGCGGGATATTCGACGCTTACTAAGACAAAAGAAGAAATGCTGGGATGTTGCCATCCGCCTTGGCACAGCAGATACGATGGAACACTACAGATCGATAAGAAACGTGTGTATAACTAAAATTCGGGAAGCGCAAAGAAAATACGAAATGCAGCTGGCAGAATCTGCACTCAAGCAGCCCAAGAGGATATTCTCGTACATAAACTACAGAACAAGGACTCATCACTGGATTCCCAACCTAATTAAAGTAGGAAGTGAATCTGAAATGATAGAGGAAGATCAGGAAAAAGCTGAGATTATGGCTGACTACTTTGGGGCAGTTTTCACTCAGGAACCTCCTCTAGAGAAAGAACCAGACCCAATTACAGAGTCAACAAACCAGCTGCTCACCGTGGACTTCGACCAAAACGATGTGCTTAAGGCTCTTAGCACCCTAAACATGGAGAAGTCAACAGGACCAGATGAACTACACCCTAAAATCTTGAGACATATTGCCGAATATATCGCAGCCCCACTGACTGTGATATTCAAAATGTCACTTGACCAAGGTGTGTTACCTATGGACTGGAAGGACGCAATCGTCACTCCCATACATAAAACTGGTCTACGACAAGTTCCATCAAATTACAGACCCGTAAGCCTCACCAGTGTTGTTATTAAAATACTGGAAAGGATAATCAAACGGACCATAACAGCATTTATGGAAACCAATAACTTGCTGAACATGGCACAACATGGTTTTAGAAAGGGTCTATCCTGTACAACGAACCTCCTTATAGCTAGGGAGCTCTGGATTAATGCGCTAGACAACGGAAACTCAGTGGATGTTGTCTACATAGACTTCAGTAAGGCTTTTGACAAGGTGCCAACTAATAGACTGCTATTGAAGTTGGCAAACCTTGGTATTGCCGGACCTCTTTTAAAATGGATTAAGGATTTCCTAGTAGGTCGTAGGCAAAAAGTAAGAATAAATTCCAAGTGCTCCATCTGGAGACCAGTACTTAGTGGAGTACCCCAAGGTTCCGTCCTAGGTCCTTTACTTTTTATAATGTACGTTAATGATCTTACAAGTATAGTACAGTCTTCAATGTTATTATACGCTGACGATGTAAAAATTTGGCGAGTAATAACTGGAGACAAAGACGCATTTACTCTTCAGGCGGACTTAAATAATATGATAAACTGGTCTAAAGAGTGGCTAATGCCTATCAACTCGGAAAAGTGTGTCTACATGCACTTGGGGGATTCAAAGGGTAATACGTACAACATAGGAGATGTGTCATTACCCGTAGTCCGGTCTCATAAGGACCTAGGGGTGACCGTGAGCAATGATCTTAAGACGACGGCCCATTGCCGGGAGGTCGCAGTTAAGGGGTTTCGAACCCTCTGGGCTTTAAAAAGGACATTCACTAAGCTTGATACTACCATGTTCACCACATTATACACATCCTTAGTGAGAACTAAGTTAGAGAACTGTGTTCAGGCTGCAAGCCCCTGTTTAAAAGGTGACTCAGACATACTAGAAAAGGTACAGAGGGCAGCTACGCGTGCGATTCCGGAACTCCGGGGTTTATCATATGAAGAGCGGCTTGAAAAACTGAACCTCTTTACTCTGTCCTATCGCAGACTAAGGGGAGATCTAATATTGATGTACAGAATACTGAGAAATGATTTCGGACCTAACTTATTCTCTCTCTTTCTTCCCACTAGATCGGGACACCTCAGAGGACATAGTAGGCGAGTAGAAAAGCCAAGAACGAACAAAATACCTCTGGCATACAGATTTTCACACCGAGTCATCAATACTTGGAACCTGCTGCCTGAAGCAGTGGTATCCGCACCTTCAATTGACTCTTTCAAGAGAAGACTGGACACTCACAGAAGCATACTAGAAAAGGAATAACATAGGCCGTAGGCCTTCTGTCCTTACTACACAAATCTGAATCTGAATCAAATCTGAAAATATACGTGACTTGTAGGTTTTCACACCGAGTTATTAATTGTTTGGACCTGTTGCCAGAGAAATGGTATCCGTCTCCTCAATTTACTCATCTAAAAAAAACTAGATGCCCTCAGAATCTTACCATAAAAAGAATAACACATGCTGTAGGCCTTCTTTGCTCAACGTACAAATGTGTATCTAAAATCTTTCCAGCTAAAATTCCACTGATAACTTGAGACGAAACCTCAGCCGATATAATCTAAATAATCTAACCTGCTTGCTGAAATTCATGTCAAAATTTAGTTCAAATTAGACACTCAGAGGATCAGATTCAAATTTCCTTGGCAAAATAAGCAAACTTCTTGTGCCTTGGGATCTGTCACATTATTTTCTTATTTCTTCGGTTGCGGAAAGATAGGACTTTCCATATCTTTTCTATAAACTGACGGCAAAACAATTTAGTTATCAACGGAAGTTAATGGGAAATCATACTAAGAGTAACC